AACCAACCGCATAAATGGTGTTTGATGTGATTATGTTGCTGACACGTGGCAATTCAGATTACCCTGGTAGAACTGAAGCTCTGCACACATCGAAGTAACCGACATCCACAGTTTGTTGTGCGACCGCTCTGTACACATCCAACCACCGACATCAACGGTTTGTGCGACCTTGGGAGTCGTCAGAATCCGAGTTCAATTCCCTGTCGCTCTAGAAGAACGTGCCACGCCGCTGACGCAGAAAATGGACTGTCACTGTCAACAGTTTGTGCGACCGTGGTGCCGTACCTGGCATGCGCATGCTCATGCGCACGGGAGAGTTCTGTACACGTCAGACGACCACATCAGCAGTGTGTGTCATCGTAATCAGGCGGCCTCATGGCAGTTGTGCGAAGATAGGCTATTTTCAACTGAAAATGTATTGGGACTGAAAAGTCGCTCCCATGTCATCACAGACTGCGATGACATGGCGGCGCATGGCAGTCGAAGATAGTCTCTTTGGAGTCGTTCAGCCGCTCCCATGTCATCACAGACTGCGATGCAGACAAAGACGACTGCGAGGAGACTATCGGCGGCATCGCGGCTGCACTACTCAACATCCGACACGTATCTGGACTGTTTTACCGCACCAAATACATTGCGACTGATCGCACATTGTAAAAGGTATTGGGATCATTTCCAGCTCCAGACACAACCCTAGATGATCATCTTCCCACACGCGTTCTCTCACGTTTCTTGCAGTGTCCTTAAAGACGTCCAACTCTCCAGACAGTCCACGATCATCTTCCCACATGCGCGCTCTCACGTTCCCGCAGTCCCTCCCGCAGTCCCTGCGGGCTAGCGTCATCGACTCGTTCTTCTTCCCTCCCACATTCGCTCTCTCTCTCTCACGTTTCTGCACCCATCCCCTGCTGCTGCTGGATTCACTGATTCACCGACTCTTATCTTCTTCCCCCATGCGCTCTCTCACGTCTCCGCAGAGTCCTCCTGCTGCTAGCTTCTTCACCCACTCTACATCTTCTTCCCTCCCACATACGCTCTCTCACGTTTCTGCGGAGTCCCTCTGCTGCCGGCCGGCTTCATCGACACTCTATCTTCTTCGCCCATGCGCTCTCTCACTCCCCTGCTGCTGGCTTCACCGACTCCGCTGCTGGCTTCACCGACACTCTGTCTTCTTCGCCCATGCGCTCTCTCAGTCCGCTGCTGCTGGCTTCACCGACTCCTCTTTCTCTTCTTCCTACGTCCACTCTTCTCACGTTCCTGCACCCATCCCCCCCCTCCCCCCCCCCCCCCCCCCCCCCCCCCCCCCCCCCCTCTGCTGCTGGCTTCACCGACTCTATCTTTTCTTTCTTTCCCCCTGCGCTCTCTCACGTCTCCGCCGTCCCTGCTGCTGGCTTGAGCGAGAAGGGGTCATGAGATGGCCCCACGTCCTGCCCAATATGCTTCTGCACCAACCGCTGCAGATCTGACATGACCTTGTGCTCCCGCTTCGCCTTCTCCTCGTAATTGAACATTGCGAGCGCTCTCTTGTCTTCCGCACTGTACACTTGGTTCTCCTTTCTTATACGAATGGCGTTCATCCTTTGATGTCTACTTCCACTCATCACATACCCCAGCTCTTCAAACTTGGAAATTTCTTCCGCGGACAGCCCCACTTCTCCACGACGGGGGATACGTTTTCCCTGCTGCACGTACTGAGCCATGGCATCTCCTTCACCGGGAAGCAGCGCCCCTCCATAGCTTATATGACCGTCAGCCTTGGGCAGCGGCATCGGCCCCACCATGGGCTCGTCTTCCATGGCAGCAGCTCTCTTCTGCGCCGCCAGCAGCTCCTTGAACCTCTGCGCCTCGTCTATCTCCACCTCATCCATATCTTTCACCCCTCCATCATCAGCAGCAGCAGCATCGAAAGATTTGTTGTCGTCACCATCTGACTCAGACGATTCCGACGATCCGCTTGATGATGATGATGATGATGAGTAGTCTGTCAACGAATCGTCGGATCGCGAATCTCCCGCGTCGTCACTTGGGGAGGAGGAGGAGGAGGAGGAGGAGGAGAGACCACCCCTCCGCCTGCGCTTCTTTCGCCTGGGCTTTGTCTCCAACCTTATCTTGCTTGATCCCTTATCTTGCTTCTTCTTTCTCCCACCCCCACCTGCTTTCTTCCTCCTACTGCGTCTGCTATCGGATCTCCTCCGCTTGCCATTTCCTGTCCTCTTCACCTTTCTATTCTTGGCCTCATCTCGATCTATGGAGGCGTCAGAATCAGAGTTCAAGTCGCTGTTGGTAGAAGCGCCTGTACTCCTAGTTTCGCTGCTTGAAGAGCTTCCGCCTGTACTCTCCGTCTCGTTGTCATCACTTCTCCTCCTCCTCCTCCTGTGCTTGCTCCTGCGACTACTTCCGTGCTTCTTTGTAGATGCCTTCTTCTTGCCGCCAGCGCTGTCATCGTCACTCGCACTTGTGTCTTCCCTCTTCCTTGTCGATTTGCCCACCTTCTTTCCCCCCTCATGGGAACCCTTCTTCTTCCGCCGCAATGCCTCCTCCGCCGATTTCCGCCGCTTCTTCTTCTTTTTCTCACTACCTACAACCCCCCCATTCTCCTTCTCCCTCCCCTTTTCCTCCTTCCGTCGTCCATCCTCCTCCTCCTCCTCCTCCTCCTCCTGCTGCTGCTGCTTATTCACGTTCCCGCGCATTTCTGCCTCTGCTGTCGGAGTGCAGGACCTTGTTGAGCTCTTGTGTTTCGGAGACAAGCTCCCCGACTTCTTTCCTGAATAGGAAAACAATCCGGTATGTTCCTTGTCATCATGCCCCCCCCCTTTCCTACGACCACCACCGCTGTCTTCTTTACCCCCTCCTGCTCCCCCCTTTTCTCCTCCCCCTTTGCCAGCGCCTTCAGGCTTTTTCCTCTCCCCTTTTCCTGACGCGTTGTCCAGGTCCTTCTTGTTTTCCACCTGTCTCCCAACCTCTGGGGAATCCAACCTGCCAATCTCGCTCCGCTCTTTTGGTCCCGCCTCCCTGCCCCTTGGAGGGCTCGGAGTGATTCTCCATATGCTGTACTTCATCTTCTCTCTCAGTCGGTCCCGTTTGATGCGTCTGTACTCAGAATATTCCAAGGCCTTGATGTCTTCATCGCTGTCTTCATTCTCCTCCCTCCTCCGCCGCGATTCAGAATCCCAGCGAGATTTCCTGTAGGGGTGGTAAGTGGGGCTCCCCCGGCGAGCGCGCGGGGGACTGTAATAAGTTCTTTCGGAGAACTTGCGTAGCTTGTCTCCCAGCGTCTCCCCTTCCCCATCCTCCCCCGGCGCCTCCGCTTTCCCCTCCGGTCTTCTCAACGACCTCGTCGGCGAGCGGCTGTCAACCATCCGATCGTCATCCCGATCGCGATCATGATCGCCCTCGTGATCGCGATCCCGGTGCGGTGAGCAAGGCGGCGATAGCGTCACCGCGCGCCGCTTTGGAGATCGGCTCCCGCTATGGCTGCGACCATGCGCGTGGCCATTGCGGAGGTCATCTCTCCCGCCGACCGCCCCCGGCGGCACGATCGCGCTCCCACTGCCCACAGCATAGCCGCTCCTCCCTCCCCCACTGCAGTTGTTCCCGCCCGCACACTCTTGCCCGCCATCTCGGCGTCTGTCATCGCGCACCGAGCCGCACTCGTCATCGTCCCCGTAGATCCTGCGCTGCTGACTGTGAATCCTGTGCGGAGACGGGCTGCGCGTTCTCCCGCGCAGCCGTGGCGGCGGCTCTTCCCCGCCCCGCCTCCCGTTGGACCCCATTACCATCGGCGATGTACTTCGACCCATCTACACGCGTTCCCCCATCATCTCCATGTGTCCACGTCAACGCACCTCTTCTCACCGCGGGAAACACCCCCCCCCGCTCTCTCTCTCTCTCTC